TGTCAGGCCTTGATTCCTGGTGCCACTCCTGCCTGCCAACTCAGAAGAGAATTCCATAATGCCTTTGTGGTTTTTTTAAAACACCTCAAGTCACAAGGCAGCAGCTGACACCAACTCTCTCCTGAGAATGGACACTTGGCCAGGAGCCCAAGCTTAAGTGGATTTGGAAGTTCTTGATCTTTATTGAAATAATTCCTACCTTCTCACTGGCACAATTAAAATAAATTCCTCCCCAGAGAGCTGCCAGAGGTTCTGCAAGCCTCTTCCATCCAGTGATAGTCAACTTTGATTAGAGAAAAGTGTTAAAGTGTAGCAGCTGCTGGTAAATGTCAGAGCCTGAAGGGCCTGCTCAGAGTTTTGATCACTTACAGCTATTTCTCATTTCATGCTATGGACAGTTTTTAAGCAACTACTCAGCATTGCTTACTTAGTCAGATGCTTCAGGTCAGCATACCAAATTCAAGTCAATGGTCCGGTTGCACTAGTTCTGGGTACATCCCTAAGGCTAAGTTGTTTGACCTGCCAGGCAGATTGATTTTGCAGATGGCCAACAGGACATTAGGAAACTTCTGCAAAAAGCATGCTTTTTCATAATGAAGAGGTAGTGTGGTCTAAGTAAACACCACAGCACGGAAGCTCACACACACACACACACACGCACACAAACGCGGGGTCGAGGATTTCAATTCTGACCTGCTGTGTGTTTTGGGTTTTCAATTCCCTTCTAAATCAGCTTCCTCATCTATGAAAGAACGATCTTGGCCTAAATCAGAGATTCCCAAGTGTCCCATGAAATGACTACATCCAAGTCCCCTGGGGGTTTTTGAAAACTATAGAACCCACTCCTACGAGATCTGATTTACTAAGTGTAGGATGATGATTACAGTAGGTCCTCAGGTTCGTTCCTATGGCACGACGTAACACGATTTTGCGTAGCACCTACATCACTCACATGGAGCACATACACAGCAGTAATGAAGTGAAACAGTAAAAAATAAAATTAAAAGAAAGGTAACAATTCCTGACCTTTACTTGTGGTAAATAATAAAAAACATAAAGCACGTATATACATATGTCGAAATGATGGAACTTTTTTTTTAATAAATAAATGGAAGATGGCGACGTAACCACGAAATGATGTACGTTGAGTCTGAGTAACCTGAAAACTGTCTGTATTAGCAATCTACATTTCCTAACACCACTTTTTATCCTGATGCAGTCGGGTTTGAAAATCATTAGATTAAATGACCTGTAAGACCCCCAACAGCTTGAAAGTTATAAAACTGTAAACTGGAATTTATTTTCTATTTTCATCCCAGAATTTTCCCCCCTATCCATTACTAGCATTCCCATTCAAACATCAAAACTGTCCAATTTCAGGTTATCAATGAAGACATAAATCTTAATACAATATGTCAAGTATTAATAGCTTACCCAACCTAATAAATCAGTATTTCATTTATGAAAGTATGAGGTAGATCTAAGTATAGCTTTTCTAGAAAATATATTCAAAAATAAAGTTTTTACATTATATTTTACAAAGATTCAATTATAAGCTGGAACTAGCCATAAAAAACAAAATTCAAAGAGCATTTTCCCACCCTACCTGGTTTGGCTCACTGGATAGAGTGTCGGCCTGTGGACTGAAGGGTCCCGGGCTCAGTTCCAGTCAAGAGCACATGCCTAGGTTGCGGGCTCGATCCCCATTAGGGGATCAATGATTCTCACTAATGTTTCTATTTCTCTCCCTCTCCCTTTCTCTCTGAAATCAATAAAAATGTGTTATAAAAAATTACTTTATTGAGGCAAAATGCACATAAAAAGTTTTAAAAAAGAGCATTTTCTCTAAATGTTATGAATAACTAAAAAGTCAGTTATGAAATGACTTTATCTAATTACCTATAAATTAAGATGCCTTAACACAAAGCTATAATCTACCTGAGGCAATAATGAACTTCCTGAGAATAGAAATCAAGTTTTAAAAAATATGTGTTTTATTGATTTCAGAGAGGAAGGGAGAGGGAGAGATAGAAACATTAATGATGAGAATCATTGATCAGCTACCTCCTGCAGGTATTTCAATAATATAAGACTATGTCTTTCTTCTTTTAACTTATTTTAGTTTACTGTGTTAAAAAGGGAAAACTGAGTCTTTTGATCACTGTTTTTATTTCATTAACTGGTTAAGGCAAAACACATGACTCTTGGGTCTAAAGAACTTTAAAAATTTCTGCCAATATTTTTCACAAGAAAACCCAAGATTCTCTCCTGCTCATTCCTTAATTGCCATGAACATTAGCTAATATATAATTTTGGTTCCTACTTCTTTTGTGACTTCATATTCCTAACTCATTGATGTGCTTGCATATTCAGCACAGCTGAACAATAATCATTAGTATAGCTACTTAAAAAGTTGGTCATTGATTACAGATAATCTGTGAATTAAGTTACCATAGAAAAATAAAGTCCTGATTCTTATGGGTTTGCAAAATAATCTAAAATAATATCTCAAACACATGATGTCACTATTACTAGGGGATGGAGAATTCAGATGGCCTTTAGAATATTTTGATAGATGTTGAAATATGTGTCCCATTTAAAGAGAAATATTGCCTTTGGCACTAGATCAATTTATCTCAGTGAGTTGGCCTCCTCTTGTCATCCAGACTCATCTAAAATATCTGAAGTAGCCTGGCTGGTGTGCTCAGTGGTTGAGTGTGGACCTATGAACCAGGAGGTCATGGTTCAATTCCAGATCTGGGCACATGCCTGAGTTGAGGGCTCAATCCCCAGTTGGGGGAGTGCAGAAGTCAGCCAATAGATGATTCTCATCATTGATGTTTCTATAACTTTCTCCCTCTCTCTTCTTCTCTGAAATCAATAAAAATATTTTTTTAAAAAATAAAATATCTGAAGTAACTTGATATAAAGTTGCCATGTCAAATAGCAAAATATTCCAAGCTATTGAGTTTAAAATTCTATTCCTACCTCTCAACTCTCTGGTAAAACCTCAAGCAGGCTAAATATAAGAATGTACAACCACAATCTGTGGCACACTCTTTTTTTCCTCTTCTAATATTCAAGTAAACACTGAATTAAGCAGGCTACTTTGTAAGCATTGTCTTGAAATAACACATTCTTTCAGCCCAACTTAAAGCCAGAATTAGTAGTCAATAGTGCTCAGATCAGATCCAAACCAAATGGTTGCTGGAAAAGTGTGGTGGGGATTAGGAGGTGGGGAGAGCTGTTGCAAAATAAGATAGTTAAATTCATTCAAATATTTGTGTAACTTCTCATCTGGAAACTTATTTTACAAATTCTACTAGCATAAGCAAAGTTATGGATATCAAGATGGAGATCTAGATGTTCAATGACAACCACCAGTAGTGATAAGACTAGATTACGAAATCCTGGTCTACACCTCTGGTCAGGATTTCTTAACCTGAAGTCACAAGGAGACTATAGGTGGTTTCTTGGGAATTCATAACTGAAACTGCTTTCAAAATTTTGTTTAGGTGTATGTATTTAAGGGAGAGAATCCACAGCTTTCCAGAGTTTTTAATTATATTATCTAACAATCCTCACAATCAATATGTGGTAGGTACTAATATGATTATCATTTTTACAGACTGAGGGAATTGAAGCTTATGGGAGATAAAAACTTCACCTGAGGTCACAAAGTGGTAAAGCATTAGTTTCAAAAATTTATTTAAAATGTACATATAACTAGCTAGTAAGAGATTGTTTTAACTTTAAAAGAAGGTTTTTTATATTAATGTATATGGACTAGAAAACAAATTCTGGGCAAAACAAGCAATTTTATTTAGTAACATAAATAATAGTTGCAAATAATTTTAATTTAAATATTTTGAAATGACATAATACATATAGCTTCTAACATGTGTCAGGTGCTGTTTTACACACTTGACATATTTTACTGCATTTGATCCTCACTACAGTCCTATGAGGTAGATACTACCTATGAGGTAGATAATATCTCTATTTTATAGATAAGGAAACACAAAAATAGGGAGGTTAAGTAATTTGCCCATGGTCAAATACCTATTAAGTTGCAAAGCCAAGATTCTAGCTTCGAAGTCTGTGCTCTTTATGAGACTATAATAGTGCTTCTCCAAACACTTAATATATGAACATTTTAAACTATGGTCACTTTAAAGGAAAAAAAGAGACAGCCAAATAAGAATCCACTTTGGAGAAATCTATCATAAGGTACTTTATTTATTCTATTGTAGCACATATGAACCAATAGCAATGAGAAATGTGAGACCAAGCAATTATATTTGCATGCTACTTTCACGTACATAACCTCAATAGCTTTTTACAACTGTGTACAAAAAAAAGTGCTATTTGTCCTGCATCTTCACTGAAGCTCTGAGAGATTAATCTCACTACTCATCATTACCTGAAATTTCTTGCCTCTACAGTTTCCTGTGCAGTTTTCCCTCTATTGGAAGATCTTTCCTTCTGTGTCTAGTGAAAATTCAATTAAACCTTCAAGGCCCAGATCAAATGTGACCACTTAGATGTACCTTTCCTAATACTTCTAGGCAGGATTAACACTTCTTTTCTCTGTTATCTTTAACATATGGGTTATATCATTCTGCCAGCAATCATCCTCTTTGTCATCAGATAGGTCTATATCTAGTTCCCTGGGTAGTCCTGGGCTCCATGATGGCAAGGGCTGTATGTAAGAGAAAGAATTCTTAGGATTCTGCTGCTGAATTAGTAAAGGAATGAAGAAGAACACTATCAGTATTCTAAGAGGAACATGAATTCATGCTGACATGCTGCTGTCATCTTTACAACTTTGTGATGAAGACTAGCAGCATTTCCCTAAACATTTACAGAGATGCTCCCTGCAAAGTGCCTAGGAAGTGTCAGGGCAGGCAGCCACCTAAGACAGTGACTCCTAGGCTACTAACCCTTAAAATACATTATTTGAGTTTATGCTTCTTGTTTTTTTGTTTGTTTGTTTCAAGTATATCAAGAGGCTTCAAGAGGAGTATGAAAACATCTACATCTCCAAGTTGGAGCAATGTGGGTTTCAATATTTTGTAGCACATCTGCAAAAGAAAAGAAAGGAGGTAAGTGAAACGATAAAGGATAGAATGGTGAGTTCTGGCAAACTCAAAATCCATCTAAATCAAGAAGTAAATAATTGGACTAATTTATTAAATCTGTAGCTTCTATAAGGGTAATTTAATCCTGAACTTTTTTAACCCTTAGAATTTACCTTTCCATTGAGTACATAAACTCTATAGCCAAACTCATTTAAAAGATGCAATATGTACCTTAAACTCACTTGATGATATAGAATAAAGTTAAGGACTTAAAGCAAATTAAAGGAATGAGGATGCTGAAAGCTTTATTGCCATGAAAATTAATTATAGGAAACACCCTTATGTCATTCTAGAAACCTACCTTTCACTCTTCTCTAGTTTTTCAAGTCTATGAAAAGCGTTCTTCTTAGAATGCCATAAATTTAAGCAATGGTATTTTGCAAATATCTAATGGTTCAGTGTAGCAGAATTTAGTATCTTTTTTAAGTCTGAATATTTATCCAAATGATATAAAGCATTAGCATCTCTTCAGGCCAAGGGGAAGACCATTTAAAATAAACCCAGTAAAGAGTTTTTAAATACTACATAATGACAGTTGCTTGATTTTTTGTTGTTGTTGCCCTATCACTGAGAACTCAACAAAGCTGGCTAACTGGTGTTTTGACAGAGAGTGGAACAATTAAACTGATGCAGAATGTAAATAGTTTACATTCAAACAAAATTCTCAGAGGTTGATTTTTTTAAAATATGTACCATTTGGCTGGTTTAAAAATAAATCTGAGAACAGTCAACCGTTAATATTTAAACCTAAAGCAAATATAATAACTATCTCTGATTAAAGATTAACCTCAATTCAGCCAGTGGTTCTGTAAGCCCTTTTGCTACTGAGTACTCCAGGATCCCTCCTATTACACTGGTAAACCCTACATTCTGAAGAGTTCCATATAATTAGTTCATTTTCCAGATATTTCATCAAGGACCCAGCCAATAGCCAATAAAAATAATCAGTATGTCTACAGAACACTGATACCCTTTCTCCAAAAGCAAAGACACCTGACATTTTAGTCCCTCTCTTGCGAACTCACTGAGAAATGCAGGCTTTCTATTAGGTAGTGGGAGTTTTCGTTCATTTTTTGTTTTTTCAATATGGAAAATAGCTTGCAGACTACTATTAACCTCTGTGATAACTTAGTAATCCCAGATCTCAGCTAGGGAGATTGCAAAGTATGAAGATTAATTTGTTTCATCTTCCTTTATGAAACATTTCACCTACAGACTCACCAACTATTATTAGAGGTAAACAAGAGGATGTTTACTCTCACAGAAGGTTCTATCCCCAGAAATTCAACAGTAAGTTTGTGGTGGAAAAGAGAATAGGCAGTATGATCAGTGAGCTTTGCAATCATAAAGTCCAGTATTTAAGCTCTGGCTTATAACCTTGGCTTTTGGCTATGTAACTTTGGGCAACCCACTTCATTTCTCTAAGACAGTTTTCTCGTGAGATAAAAGTGAGTTGTTGAGAATTTAATGAGATAAAAATAAACAAATCTCAGCACATAGTAGGGTACTGAGTTATGTTCTTTCTTACCCTCACCCTTTAATAAGTAACATATTCTACTATAAAATGGAGTATTTGACATTTTCAGAATTACAAAGTATCATTCAAAGCCATTTTCTCAAACATCCATCCGAGTGTGCTTGTATAAATACTATATATAGTCTCACAATCCTGAAGTTCATTAACTCTCTGGTGTACACAAATCAATGTCATAATTTAAATACTCTCAACTTAAAACCTGAAAAGAATGTGAGAGGCTACATCAGCAGTGGGTACAGACTAAAGGGCTGCCAGGGCCAGGATCCAGCCTTCAGAGGACTCCAAGGAACATTCAACGCTGTCGGTGAGTTTGGGATTTGAAAAAACCACCGACCGTTGACTGTACCTTGGGCTCCTTACAGACAACACTATATTTTTGAAGCAAAAGAGCAGGCTGTACCTTCACATGCCAAATTAGACAGCCCCATTAGAATATGAGCTATTTGAAAGCAGCTATTGCCGCACTATTTCCATCCACACATACGCTTATTTAAATGTTTGTTAAATTCAAGTAAAATCTGGTCTGGAGTCAGACAGATCTGGAGTGCATCTTGGCTCAACTCCCTAACTAGCTGTGTGACTGTGGACAAATGTCTGAGTCTCAGTGCTTTCATATATAAAATGGGGGCTAAGATTTCCTATCCTCATGGAGTTTTGAGATTCAATGAGATAATACATAAGGTGCTTTGTACCATTCCTAGAACACAGCAAATGCTCTATAGATGAACGCTACAATTATTTAATCCAAAACATAACCTGTGCTAATTTAACTTGAAAAGCACTCATATTCTCAGTTCTAAAGAGAGAGGAAGAACTAGGGTCCTCAACTCTTATTTACACCTCCCAGTATGAAAGCACAGCCTGTGTGATCACAGGGCTACTTGCTAGCTTCTCCAGGAGCCCCTTCTCTTCTCTGAACCATAGTTTCCCCATCTTTCAGAACCTCCCAGCTCTACTGTCAATGTTATCAATAATTATGTGGCTCCTCAATGGCTAGTTACTGAGAGAGGCCAGACACAGACCTCAAAGAACCAGTGTGGAAAAGAAGAGCCAGGGGTCAGGGAGAGCCAGGGCAACTCCACCAAAGGAAACCCTGATGGCTGCACTCAACATTCATTGCTGTCGGTGGGTTTGAGTCTGAATCAACTCACTGATCAATGAATGCAAACTGCGGACCAAGCAACTCAAGGAAAACAAAGGCACGTGCAGAGAGTTCATCAGCTCCTGTGCTGGGTAGGAGCTGCCGCTGTATCCGATATACTGACTAACGTCTCTCTTGCTCTCTTTGGTTCTAATATGAAATAATTAACATATACTATTATAAAATGGGATATTTGACATTTTCAGAATTACAAAGTATCATTCAAAGTATCTTTGAATGCCTAGTACTTTCATTTTCTCTTTCTTTAAAGATGTTCTTTTGTTATAGAAATGACATTTTATAAGAATAAACTATATAACTTGACATCACAATGTATTTTTTTAAAAATCAATACTTTCTTTTTTTTTAATTAAATCTTTATTGTTCAGATTACTTTTGTTCTTCTTCCCCCCCCCAAATCCCCTCCTCTCAG